TTCCCTACAATTACATGAAGACTTCTTGCTGCACCACAAAAACCATAAACTAACTTACTAGGTACTTATAAGGTGCTTTGGCCTTCAAATATGATCTCTAATACTCTTCCCTTCTGAAAAGTCAGAGGCTGAATTTAGACATACTGGCATCTGAAGAGTTTACAGACTCTTCAATCTTGAACTAAACTTCCACCTTTCTTAGAAATAAGTCATCATTTATTTTTATGTTCTAGTTTCCCCGATAGCTACCAGTGCTGATGAACTCACTGGTGCATAAACGCTATCTATAAATTGTGGGGGCCACAAGCCTCCTCAAACACTTCACTGAAAACATTCTATTGTGGATTCTAGAATAGCATAGGCATATGTCTGTTGGGGGAGAGCTGAGCAGCAAACTTTGTAGGTAAAAGAAACACCAGCTCCTCTGGCTAGAAAAAGCCAGACAAGAAATAATTAAATCCAAAGTCACTCAAGTGTGCTAGCAGTAAAACCTAGAGCTGAATACACTTCCTTAGTCCCAGTGCCAATGCTCCTTCCACCAGACTATAACATCTATCACCTCCTGTCCCATCATTCATATTACAAGGACACTACTGAAACAAGACCGGTATAAGCTACAGCAGTCTTGGCCCCATGCTCCTTTCACAGTTTGGTAAGAAGTTATTTTACCTTTATTCCAGGAATCAGAGAGGGAAAAGTCAAATTTTGGAGTGGGTGGGAGCTAGAAAGAGAGAGACAAAGTATCAGCACTTGAGAGGTTTCACTTATAGCAAGATTCACATCACCTTGGAGAAGCCTGTTGAGCACCTCATCTCTCAAATATCCTTAGATGCCTATTCTCCATAAGTCTTAAAAGGGATCAGACATGAGGTTTAAAGTCTGGACTTTGCTCTTTCCTCCAGTATAATGTAGGTGTAGAAGGCAGTACTTATCATTTGGGTGCTTCTGAAAAATCATCTCCATGGCTGTCTCCTTACAGTTATCTGTTAGTTTAGAATAGTCTCCAATATGAGCAACATTTTCTAAACTTTCAGCAAAGACTTCTCCTGTTCAGAGGATTTTAAAAACTAAGAATTACTCAAAGAGAAGGACCTCTTCAGGCAATTTAAATTCAACTTGTCTAATCGTTAGCAGCTTGAGAAACTGTGAGGAGAATCTTTTCATTAAATTTCTAAAAGCATATAGGATCCTTCAAAAACCAGTTTAGGAATACCACCACACAGTGAAGTATCTCCCAGAGCGTTCCTAAAAGCCCCTCCTTGACCCTGCATAGGCTGTTACCCCTGTTACCCCATCGCCTTTAAAAAAACATGACAGCAATGCCTCTCACATAAATTTAGAATTTTATCCTCCTTCCATTTCAATCCTCTTTAAAATGTTCTCAGTGTGAAATCCAGTTTCAATAGCAAAACTCCTACCAGCATGACTAGAACCAGAATACCACCCCAATGCTTTCTCCTCCCCATTCACAGAACACATTTGTTTTGCTGTGTTCATCTGCACAGTCCTTACCTCCCAGCCTATGTAACTTGTCCACTCCTGGATAGCTGGAGGCAGTGCTGCTTGAGCTTTCTTAAGGGCTTCAGCACCTTGTGTGCCACTGCCCAGCAGCCCCTGATCATATGCCACGTATACAGCAGCTCCAGCCAGGCTTCCTTTGATGATAAACCTGAAAGAACCAAAAGCAGCAGCAACAGTTCAGTTCATGTTATGACTAACAATGCATCTCTCTTGGTAGGGTGTGACTGTGAAAGGAAGGATATTGATAAAGAAGTCTGAGGGTCACCAATACTCTGTTGTAATGTCTTATTACGGACAAACAGCAGCAGAATAATAAATAGCTATCTTCCTTTTCTTCCTAGGGCAACTATTGCCATGCAACTTCTTGCAGCTATACCCCTTCACATTTTATCAGTGACTGTTTTCCAGAAAAAAACAAGCGTCAAACACCTGAGTATGTGCCACCTTTTAAAGTCTGGGAATTGCTGGTATATACCTTTGGTAAAAAGAACTACAGGATTTTATAGTGTTGAAGACATCCATGTTAATGATGTTTTTCTTGCTGTCTTGTTAATAAGCAATCTGATTAACTTGACAGACACCAATTATCTTGTTAAGCTCATTACAACCCACTTAACCCCTGGCCATGCCTGTTCCTGAATTGCCCAGGGCTTTCAAGTTTCCTGATAGTCTGCATGGTGTGCAAGCACCAGTTTTACACTTGTACTGGCAACCTGCAAAACAGGAGACAATGTTTGACTTTTATTTACTTTCTCATCATAGATAGATCTGAGGAGAATGACTTTTTCAAATTCACAGGGCAGAGCTGTTTCTCTTAAAAAAAAAAAAAAGAAAAAGTAAGAAAATACTGCACGCATAGGGGGGAAAAAAAAACCAAAAACAAACAAACAAGCAAGCAAGCAAAAACTTGGAAGATAGCAGTACTGCAGTAGTAGAATGCATGACAGATACAGCTGTTGAGAGAAGTAAGGAGAAAATCAATACTTAAATCCATGTATTCACAAGTATTTGGGGGGAAATGGATTTTCTGTTGAAGATTTATTACTCGCTCCCAAATGTGCCCTTCTGCACCTTCTCCCTTCGATTTGGCACTGGGTCCACATGTGAAAATGCTCCCTCAGCACACAAGCACCCAGCGCAGCATTCCCTGGTTGTATTTTAAGTACTCAGGCTCGCCACAAGAAAACCGCCGGGCTCTTGCCAGGCACGTAGGGACACA